GGGAGTTCACTCACTTACCAGTCTGCCTGGCTCGTCTTTAGGGGACCCAACAACAAAAAATATCAAACAACAAAAAAAAAAACATGTTCCAAAAAAAAAGCATGCCCTGGGTTTTGCCCATGTTTTGTCTAGTTGATAGTTGTGGAGGTAACAGGGCTGCATATTTCCAGCCACTGCTAAGTTTCGTCAGATTTTGCCAAGCTGCGTGTTTTTGATCATGGTGGGAATCGGAATCTGCAAAACATGTACGAACATGACAGCACATAAATTCTTGTTTCCCTTATTTTCCTGTTGATAAGATTCACCAGGGATCTTGCCTACTTGAGATATTGCCAGCAATCCGCGCAATCAGAGCAGCCAGAAAGCCAGCCCAGGAAGAACATGAAGCCAGATAGAGGTACAGAATAAGAACCAGAGTGGAAATTGAGCATTTCTCTTGCAAATCCTTGCTGGCCGCTAGCATCAAGAATCCCAGCTTGCAAGCGTTGAAACTTTCTAACACTGTCAAAGCCCTCACCCTTCTTCTGCTCAGGATCTTGACCGCCCAGCCCCAGCATAAAAAGAAACATTAGGGCGGGGGGGCATAGGGCAGGAGGAGTAGCCAGAGTAGGAGGAGTGGAAGAGCAGTGGTATAAGCAGTATAGATTTAACAGCGGGCGCAAAAAGAATTAACAAAACCGGAACGTGAAACCAATGTGTCAGAAACAGCACGTCTGCGAACCAAAGAAGATAACGGCGAGGAGCTCCTTCTTTGCCGGATACAGACATACTGTCAACAGGAACATCGGAATTACAAACTACGTTTGTCACAGTAAGACTTGTCATTGCGATCAACAAAAGACTTCAATCGTAACAAAACACAGTAGTACTAGTAGAAGTTATTGCGGTGGCAATGGCAAACAGCAGCATAAGGGCAGATACTGGTATAGTACTAGCGCTACAAACATTCGCAGCACAAGCAGCAGCAGCAGCAGAAGCAGCACCAGCAGCAGTCGTAGTATTGCTAGATCTCGTAATGATTCGTAATGGTATTCATAATACTAGCAGCAGGAATAAAAGCAGCAGCAGTAGCAGTAGCAGTAGCAGTAGCAGTAGCAGTAGCAGTAGCAGTAGCAGTAGCAGTAGCAGTAGCAGTAGCAGTAGTCGAGTAGTGGCACCACACACGGCCCTATCAGGCTGTGGATTGCTCTTTGTTTTTCCAGGTTTTCACTCATGGAGCAAGCCGCATACTGTTCGCGTTCCCAACCATAAAAACGTTCGCGTTCCAAGTGCATATGGCCACCAGAGCACCCACGCCCAATCCATCATGACATGCGTGTTCCAAGTCGTAACAGGTACCAGGGCATCTATACCCAAACGAAAACAACATTCATGCTGCAAGCGTATACTAACATTCGTGTTCCAAGCGCATGTGGTTACAAGAGCGTCCGTGCCTGAACCAGAAAAACACTTTGTTCCTAGCATAGATGGTATGGCATGGTTAGCTGTCTTGAACGGTGCTGCAGACACGTTCTCGGATCAAATTGCATGGCCTGCCTGCCAAGGTGACAGCACGATCTATGGGGTTCTGGAAGAGTTGAAGCTGGTGGGAACTGTGCTTTAGGTGACAGAGTGTGACAGCTGCAGGATGCCACGATAGAGTCTTTCGTTGTAACAAGCTTCGATAAGCATGTCCTCGATCTTTCTTGCCCGACCTCTTCGGAACCTGGGTCGAGCTCTAAAGGATGCACTGTAAGTAGATATCAGGTCTGCAAGCTTATCATATTGCACGTGGTTTTCTGCACCATCATCGGCACCCGCTAGGGCGTTGGCTCTATCCGAGCCTGCATCACACTGAGGCGCCAAGCATGAGAAACAGGCACGGCACCAAGTTGGCAGCGAGTTTTAGCGTCGCTCGCGGGCCTTGCACTCGGCATCCCATTTATTGGCTTCTGCCTGGAGGTCCAGGACCTGATCAGAACTGAAGGCAAAGGCACTGAAGCTCCACAAGCACGTCGCAACCTCGCGGCGGTGCTCTGGACAGCGAGGGCAGCTGCTGGCTGTGATGTCGTCAACGCCTGGGACGTGACTGGGCGCGGCACTACCTTCCCAGAATATTGCACATGCTCAGCAACTCACACATGCATGTCAAAAGTTGCTGGTTCCATGCGGTTCTATCCCGTGCGCGCAAACCATGTTTGGAAGTCAGCCTCCCGTATAGCCTGATGGCGGTAGCGGCTCAGCCTCCGCATGCCAATTCTCAGTTCGAATTGCAAAGATTTCCAACATCAACTGAATAGGTTTCAAGCAAGCAGACATTGAGATTCGGAACTTGCGTGCAAAGGGCTTTCCCTATCCTTCCTACAACAGCAACGACGGCAAACGTGAACATTCACGGTGGCACCCCCAACAACCGCCTCCAACTGCTGGCGCAGCTCCGGGAACAACCTAGGCGGAATGGTGGTCTGCACAGCCGCGACCTTTCAAGCCGAGGGAAACAACTTCTGAGTTGAAAAATACGGCCACGCAAGCACGCTTGGCAAGCTTTGGGCAAAAACATGAAGTAGGATCTTGTTGAGCGAAATGGTAAGGCAGAAAACTATCCCAAGGCAAAATCTAGCCCACAAATGCACATCACATGCTGAGGCACAGACAACACGCACACACACACACACATACCCTCCCAAAAAAAAACAGGAGGCCTCTGACTTCAAACGTTTGATCTCGCTGCGCAGCCAAGCAGAGTGATGCCGACGAAGGTCGCAAAAAGGACAATCTTCGTAGTCGAACTTGTCCTTAGTAGTGCTGGAGCGCGTACATGGCAAATTTTGGGACACGTCTCGAGCCTTGAGGATGCATTCAGCAGTCGGTAGCTACTTGAATTTATCAGCGAAGGAAAACATGGAAGCATGTGCCATTGGCAAGCAACAGCTTGCGCCAGAGCCCACGGGGGTCGAATCTCCTCCTTGCTGAGTGATGGTATCCTCGGACGTCGGGGCTGGCAACTTCTGCACTTGCGTTTGAGTCCATCGCGCAGACGTGCATCACTTCGCATACAAGACACTGCGTGCAACTGGAAACTGCCTCTGCCACGGACTCCACAGAGCCCATAGCAGCTCGCACGTTTTGGACGCAGTAAACTTGATCCTGGCCTGGCTGGTATGACAGGTAAGCGAAAGCACAGATCTCTGACTGAATGCATGTCATCAATTTGAAAAAGTACGCCCAAATAGCTGCAGCTCAGTGCCAGCTGGGTTCAACCAACTTCAAAAGTACATGCAAAAACTTCATGGATGTTTGCAAACTTTGCCAGAACACTGAAACACCCCTGGCCTACGCCTGGCCTGCGGCCCAGCCAAGCTGTCCAGGCACCATGGGCGCACAAGCAACAGATGTTCGCTCTCCGTGCAGTCATGCATCATCATGGCAAGTGAATTTTTATCGTATTCACAAATTGTGGTGCAATGGTGGAATCTGGCGGCTTTTGGGCATGGAACATCTCATTCCAAGCGGGCATGGAACGTCTGAGGAACGTCCGAAGAAGCAAGGAACATGTATACAACTGACATGACTTCGGCAACAGCTGACATTACTGAAGCCGCCCAACGCCATTCAGCGCACCCCTGCTAGCGTTCTTGCACTGTTTACCATGAGTCGCCATTCTAATCACAAAGCCAAGCTATTTTGGCAGACATTTTTCTGAATAAACGACACCATACCCAAGCATCAAATCTCCTAGTCCTAGAATCCTAGAGCTGCATATTTTCGAACAATCCACAACATTGCCTGGAGGAGCTCGCGAAAGGGCCGCAACCGCATCCTCACCCAGCACTGCGGCTTGCATGATAAACTTTACAGCAGGCATGTTTAAAATTTGTGACTGAATCAAAAAATTGACAAGACTCTTGCGGCTTGAATATGGCAAGTTCAGCGTCCGCTTGCCATTCCCCACCCCTCTCAACATTCCAGGTCCTCATGGGGCAAGTGTTGGTTCAGGTCCGGCTGGAGCCCGCCCCAGCTTGTCTGGCAGGCAGAAAAAGAGCTACATGTTCCCTCTCCAAAACAGACCACTCAGCGTAGATGGCATCACAAAGATACTCAATGCATAGAATCATACGTGCAATGAGAACAGCGTGCCCCTGGGATGAAGGGTGGCGCATTCGGATTCGGATCCGACATGGCGAGGTTTCCTGGGCTCACCATACATACAAGCAGAATCATACATCTCTGACAAACTGAGTTTCGAACGTAACACTGACCCTGGCTTCAGACGTCCAGAAACAGGTCGCCCACAATCTGTTGTGGCGGACAACCCAGTCAAAAGAGAGGGCAGCGTTGATTTGCTAGATTGCTGTGGTTTGCGGGTGTGGCTTTGGCTGGCGTGGGCTGTGTGTGAGGGCTGGCTGCTAGCTGATGGTATTAAGCAGGTGGTGTACAGTTTGATACAATTTGATAAATGGATCGATCATTTTGCTGCATACTCAAAACAAAGGAAAAGGAATATCAGCAAAGCATCCTTGCAAATGCTAGTGTTGACCAAGTGAGGGCTGTGCTGCGGTGGAGGTGGGAGTTTGTGAGCATGTTGGTGCCTAGGCGTGTGAGTGCGTCTGCAACTGCGTGAGGTGACTGCTGTGTGGTGTTGGTTGGGTGGCTGCTGGCGGGACTGTCCCTGGGCCCTAGCGTGACTGCCAGCCCTAGCACGGCTGCGGAAATTTTACAACATGAACCTGGCGCTTGAATCATGGACAGCACACAGAGATCATCGTCCAATGCAGGCAACACGGACAATGGTGTCCTAGTTGCCAGCTCTGGCTTAGAACCATGCCGATTTTGACTACTGACCAGCAAGTTTGTTTTTTGCATTTTTTTGTTCGGGGCTCTCGAATAATTGTTGGACATGACCGGAAACATGGGAAATTGATACCGGATAACATAAACATGAAAATATTCTGAAATCATGGACATCCATAGCAACAAATGGAAATGTGATGAGACATGCTGGGACGTATCGTAAACAGCGACTGTTGAAAACAAATTGACAATTTTCGAAGAACCTAAACATATCCCTGTGGCGTGCCATGGCAGCGTGGGTCCGAGAAAGAATGTCCCGAGTGACTGACTGAGTCAATCTCATGTCAACACACATGGGCACAAGGATGTGAGCTGTTGAGCATCCGGCAAGAGAACCTCCTATTGTGCATCAAAGAAAAAATGACGAGCTTTACATTTCCACCACCGTGATGGTAGTGATGGGACATTTGCTGTTGCATATTTGGCAACAGACGTTCCCCAAGCATTTTTTGGACGGCCACGTCTGCGCTTGCCATCTGGCTCGTTCAAATTCATGGACCCGCCTTCGAAAAACAATGTTTGCATGACGTTGTTCGAAGGTAATTGTGCAATCTTATGGAAAAGTATCAGCTGACTGTACTTGATCATCGCTGAAAACCTGTGTGCCCTGGCACGCGACAAAACTTCTGAGTTGGGAATGTGGCTGATGAAGGAATGAAGGTTGTCCAAAATCCTGCGCAAGCATCTTGTTTGAAAGGCATCCAATTTCCTCAATTCATTTGTGTTCATAAAGGCAACAACCAGCACAACAGCCGCGAGGAAATGCAAACATCAATGATGCGACAAAACTCTGCACGGGGAACGGGCATGGGTCAGGAGCTTGGAATGCACGGACCTCCGCCGGCATGGGGGAATATGATTCGGGCCGGTGCCGATCGGGGTCCTTCAGCTATGCAAGTGCGTCGGCCGTGCCAGGCGGTAAAGGCTCTGCCACGAGGGCACGCCCAGCTGCCGAAAATCTCCCGAGGTGAACAAGGGCGGCTCCCCGTGCGCACGCGCATCGTTGTCAAGGACAGGGGGCCGCGCACCTCCGCTGACAGCCCCGGCTGCCTCAGCCAGCAGTTGCCCCAACTGCCCGGAACGGAAAAACCCCACAACGGCGGTCAAGCTCGCTGGGTGGGACGCGTGTTGCCCTCCGTTACAGGAGCATGCACGGGACCGGGACGAAAAATCTCCAACCCCGTGTTTTGCGATCAGGCGACGACGGGTCTGCAGCAAGCCCGGGCCCAGTGCGAAGAGCTCCTTGAAGAATATCGCGGAGGCTTGCCGGCGGAGATTGCTGAGTCAGGGCGCCAGTGGGCACTCCCCCTGCTGGTTGTGTTTCCCAACTCGTGTGGCCTCGTCCGCAACTTTGGGTTCCACGCCAGGTTTGCCGGCACGAGGTGGCAGCGCGCTCTGCTGCACGTGCCCGCCAGCCCAACGCCACACTGCGTGAACAAGTCTGGTCGGCACTAGCTGCGAGGCTACAGGCCGGCTGCACTGGCCCCGCGCAGTCGACCAGATCAAGGACTCGTTCCAACTGCGGGCCACCGGCAACCCCCAATCTCCCCAGTCAGGGTTGTGGGCCAGGCTTGGCCAAGCGCGGTCGTGCCCACAGCTTGTCGCACGGCCATTGCCAGGAGGCCCCACCAACGCCGCGCCCACCCCACGCGGAGACTTGGAGGCGCACAAGGGTGTGCAGAAAGCTGCATGTCTCTGAGCTCCAATGGCCCCCAACCTCCCCGAACACAAGCAAGCGTTGCGGGCCCGGGCCACAGAGCTCGGGGTAGGTGGTTCGCTTGCGGCGCTTTGCCGAGCACAATGCCGCGCCATCCTCGGAATCGGCCTGGGGCTCGCCTTGCCGTGTGGGTGGGGACGCGAGGGGCGTCGCAACAGAGTGCGCCCCCGAAGGCAGTCGCGCCATAGACCACGAGGTCGAGTCGACGCTGGTCGCCAGGGGCCGTGGTGCGCGGCAGCAGCATGCAGTCGCGATGGTAAAGGTTGCGAGTCTGCGACGCAAGCCGCTGCCAGCCATGCGGCCAGTCACCAAGGTTTGCTTCGTCTTCGGTCTATCAAGGAAGACCACGTTGGGCAGCTAGCCCAGCCTTTTTTCAACAGAAACGCGATGCAGCGCGCGTCCTGGGCGTCCTCTGGCCCGGCCCCACCCAAACAATGTAGCAATGTGTCCCACAGCGCCGCATCGTGGGCAACGGCATAGGCTGCGATGTCGTCGGGCGGCACAGTGCGTAGCACATGGATGGCCCGGGGCGAAGCGCACATTGCAAGGAGCAGCCACGCGCACTGAACATCGGGCAGCTGTGCGAGCAGCTCGGGCAAGGCCGGCGATGTATTGCGACATGCGCGCTTGCAGGTTTCGACAAAGCCCCAGCCTCAGCACTGCATTCAGGCGGCTGCCCTTCGGAGCGCCTAGTTGCACTTGGCCCTGGGTGGTTGTGGCCATTGCTTTGTGCCCCAGCTCCGCTTGCAAGCCGCAGATCTCTGTGGCGCTGTTTGGGCTGCCGCGGGTGGGGACATACACACAACACTTCACTGCAGGGCGCCTCCCAACCCGCCCGCAAAATCGTTGTCCAGGTGCGCTTCGTCGTCTTCTTTTTCCAAAGCCTCGGCCACAGCACTTCTTCATTGCCTGTCGTTTGAGCAGCCTTCTTCAAGTCTCCTCAGTTTGTCCCCGTCAGGCCAGGCTCAGGATAGTGTAGCTTATTGTGGCGCCTTTTGCGCTGCCGCGGGGAAATTTGTGCCTCATTTTTTTTTTCTTTTTTTTTCCTGGCCTTTTCCGGCCCATCCGTGGCAAGCCGCTTGCCTCGTTGCAGCCCGGAACCGAGCTGGCGCTGCTCGCGCCTTCGCGGCTGCCAAGCGGCGGAAGAAATCCGCCATCTCAGCACCGGGCTGACGACGGTTGTGTCAACGGCGGCCTGCGCCCCTTGCCACAGTGGCAAGCCGTTGGCCAGCACTTCGATGCGGCGAGAGTCCGCCAGCGGAACATCAATGTTCATGTCGCGTAGGAAAACGTTTGCCGCGACAGGGGCACCGCCTTCCCGGCAAACACGCGCTGCCGCCCTCTCCAAAGGAGCCCCCCGCGGGCCCAGAACACCCGTGACAGGGCATGCTGCTCGGTGATCCCCGAACACATCCAGCATGCCCCCACATCGGCAACGCCGATGCGCGTGCGGAAGTGGCATCCGTAACCGCCGCAGCAACAGAAACTCGCATGCATTCAGAAGGCAAGCGAAGCTCCAGCGAGGTTGGGATTGCTGTGATGG